GCATGGTGTGTCATGGAATATGTTGGACATGTTTTGAATGATTGTATGTTATCAGGTTTATTTCTTGGTGTTTTTATGTATGATATTACATTTTTCTCCAATTCTTATGTTTGTTCAAGGAATACTTGTGGTATTTCTGTATTTTACTTATAGTATATTTTACTGAGTAACATATTTATGTATTTTACTTGTAGTGTTTTTCATGTCTACCATTGACTATGAGGTACCAATATTTTTTGAACTTGTGTAATTTATGTGTTTGTTTATGGAATTTCTAAACTATATTATAATTGTGAAAAAGTTGATGGTTTTAATATGAATAACTGACTTATTTTTAGTAGTTGTTTAATTACACAATATTTTTAGCAAGTTTAATTGTTTTTAATTTATAATGTGTCCATTTGGTGTTTACTTTTTGTATTTTCTCAATTTCTCTTTGGATAATCTAAACATTTTCTTAACTATTAAATTACATATAAATTCATTCACAACTACACTATCATCAAACACATTCTAATCTCTAAATGTTGTTCAAAAATCGATACCACCAATATAACACAATTTCAAGGACCAATAGCAATCTATGTAAAAACCAATATATTAACTCATGCACTCAAAAAATATTCTTTGTTGACACTAAAATAGAATCATATATATTTACTCATATTAGGAAAAAACCAAAAAAAAAAATAAAAAAAAAAATAAAAACTTGTTATGTCCAGAACATAAAACTCATTGTAAACTGGTAGTCCCCAACATAGCACCAAATTAGATCAACAGAGCATCAACTTTGAAAATAATTGAAAAAAAAAATCCTGCAACTTCAACAAGTGTCATCAATGGTTATCTACTCTAATCTTTGGAGGATTTGGACAGGTCTTTACATTATGGCCCCTCTCGTAGCATTTTCCACACTTGTTCTTTTTAGGAGCCTCAAATGGAGACTTGTATCGTTGTTTTCGCCGACGCCCCAATTTCGCTTTGTCTATAGGTGGTTGCACTTGTCTCTGTTTCTTATTGTCCACAGCATCAAATGTTTGCGGACCTTCGATAGGATAAACTACTTCACCATACGTCTCCAAAAAGTTAGTCGTCCTGTAATAATCAGAGCAAAATGGCACTGGATCAATAGGTAAAGACCGAATGACGCGTATGGCATGTGGACATGGTAGCTCGTCCATTTGAAACTGATTGCAAGTGCATGTCTTGGCATCCAAATTTACAACATGTGAATACACGTCGTTATACACCTTATAAACTTGGTCGCTCGCCTTCTGGACCTGTCAACATATACACAAATTCCTTTTCATCTACAAAATCAGTTTCATACAGATTAGTTATTCTATTAACTTATTACAATATAAACATAATATAAACTTACAAACAAACGGGAAGCCACTTTGTAATTTTCTTCAAGGATATTGTTTGATTTTTTTGTCAGAATAGTAAACATGCACTTTGCCTCATCTCGATTTGACACGTTCCATTTTTGTTGTATTGATCTCAAAGATTCAAGCAACGTTGTTATAGGTAATTCACGCACCACTTTCGTAGCCGAGTTTATAGTTTCTGCTGCATTTGACGTCATTGTGAAGAATCTATTTTCTTGGCAGTGGATACGAGCCCATTTGTAAAAACCTACTTTTTCAAGATGTGTTGGTACCCTTGGATCCAACTTCTTCAGTTCCAGCATATACCTGTTGAACTCTTTCTTTGTATATGCTCTAGAGGCTGAAATAAATGCATGCTTAACTTCCGTTGTCGCTATTCTATAGTTATTCCTCAGATTGTTGGCGAGGTGGTAAGTGCACAAGCAATGCGAAGCTTCTGGATATACCTACATTTTATAAAGCACAGAACATAATCATTCAAAAGCCGACACTTATCTTGCAGGTCATCCATAAAAAGAAGAAATATACTGTTGTTTTCATAGTTACCTTTGATATGGCATATTTGATGCTTTCATGAGCGTCTGAGACAATGCATAATCCCTCTCTCTCAGGTAGGGCAGATTCAACTTGCTGAAAAACCAAGAGTATGACTCATTGTTTTCCGAGTCCACGATGCAGAAAGCAAGTGGGAGTACGTGCGAATTTGCATCTTGCGTACACGCTATGAGTAAAACTCCTCCATATGTAGACTTTAGAAACGTGCCATCAACAACAATGATAGGCCTACAATGTAGCCAGCCCTTGATCGAAGCATTTAGACACATGAACAGGTACACGAAACGTTTATCTTCAGTAGTACAGAGATTCACAATGCTTCTGGGATTCGAGTGACAGAGCTTTTGGAGGTACTCATGAATGTATTCGTATGATTCATCCGGTTTTCCCTGTACCACATCTAGAGCCTTGCGCTTTGATCTCCATGCCTTTTTGTATGATAAATCGATGCCATATGTCAACTTTATATCGTGTATAATTTCTGCAGCGTTGTATTTTGTTGTCACGTTTGTGAATTTCCCCTTTATGCATTCACTAACAAGTGTTGACGTAGCTTGTCGTTGGTTGTTTGTTCTCACCTCAAATGGACAGTTGTGATCTTTCACCATTTCCCTGATTTTGAACATACTCGATTGTCCTACTCGAGATGATTTAATGAACCAATTGCACCCATCCCATACACACTTTACGAAGTACTATTTAGGACACGATTTTTGTACCTCGAATTGGAACTGGTGCTTGATTGCATATAACGCAAGCATTTTCTGCAGACTAGTTTTGCTGGAAAATGAATGTCCAATTGATGGATTGTGCATCACTTCGACCGCATTACCTGATGTCGTATCAACAGCTCCGTATGTGGTCTGTTGTTGTTCAACACTTGATGCAGCTAACGACATGGCTTTGGCAGCTTCTCTTGCAAAATCCATAAAATTCATATACTTTGAACCTTCATAGTCAAATTGATCAAAGTCCAAAGCAGCAACAATGCCCTCATTCCCTGCAACTTCGCTGTGATCGGCATTGATGAGGAGTGGAACTGGAATCAAAGTATTTTTTTGTTCCTTAATCACACATACTGGAAACTTAGTGTAATCAACTTCCCTTGACTTCAAATCCATGTAGAATCCAAGGCTTTGATCATCATCAATTTTAATGGTTGGATATCCATCTCGTACCTGATACTTAAAACTCCACCTTGATTCCATGTGGTTTATCTTCAGTAAATCTGCAACTTGCTTGGTGAAATCACTGAAACAACAATTCTGATTCATAGATATTCCCCCAACTTTAAAATCAATGTAAATGTTGTTACACCACTCTCCATTGTAGTGCAAAAACACCATAATTTTCGACATTTTGCTGCAGATTACCACAAAAATACCTCAATTAATACTACAAAAAACGGATTGGCTAAAAAAAAAAAAAAAATACACCCAAGCCGCCATTGTTGAAAATTAAGCTTCTGTTCAATGAAAATAGCATTGGCTACTTCAAATCAGACGAAAAATATTCGAAATATACCTTCAATCTCCCAAATCGAAAGTGTTCGCGAGCTCGAGATTCAGAAAATTCCCTCTCGACACGATTTCCACATTTCCATACTCGAAAGGTGAGTTTTTCTGTTTTGGATTGTTCCAACAATTTCCTTTTTAGTGAGTTTCTCGCAAGCTGATTTTGGGGTAGATTGAGTTGATTTCCACAAATTTTCTTCCTTCTGTTGTAGCTTCGTAATTTTGGGTAGTTAAGTTTTATGTGGCTACAAATCTGCGTTTAACTTTAAAATCTCGTTAATTGGTACATGTTGTTTGATTTAAACGTGTATGTGTATTTTCGCTAAAGCTATACATATCAGTAAAGAATATTTTCTTTGGGCCATGTATATGAGCTGGATTTGGTGTCTTTCTCAAAATATCCTGCAATTTAGCCGGAAAACTGGATACTATAAAAATTAAAAAACATCCAGACTCAAACCATTAACTGGAGTTTTCCTTTCCACATATTTATTCAACTTTATCAGCATTTCCTACATAAAAAAAACGTGGGAGCGTAATGATTTGTAGGGCCCCCCAAATTAGGTAACGTGAATTTATTTATTTTTTATTTACAATGATCAGTGGTGTGGAATAAATTAGTACCCTTTTGTCCTAAAAAGAATGTAATGTGGGTTATATACAAATAGTTTTAAAAAAAATTAGGTGATATATAAACTATTGCGTCTCCCGTGCGATGCATAGATAAATAATATTAAATAATAATTATAAATTAAATATATAGTAAATAATATTAAATAATAATTATAAATTAAAGATGTGGAGTTAATATATAGTACAATTTATTTATATCAGTTGTAAATAATATTAAATTATCTTGTATAAACGAACATAAGATATATATGTTTAAAATATTAAAAATGCTAAAATATTATATAATCGTATGTAAAAGTATCTAATATTTTATATATCACTTAAATTTTTTTTTTAAAACTATTTTGAATAAAAAACATGTCTAAAAACTATTTAAAAAGATGTGAAGTCACCTAAAAATATTCTAAATTATTTTTCAAAGAAAACATGTCTAAAAATTTCTATCAAATTATCGAATAAAATAAGATGTTGGTGAAAAATATAGTACGTATATAATTCAAATAAGAAAAATGATTTATCATTTTATCATGTTTTTAGTTAAGTAGTTAAAAAATTGCGGACACATTTAAAATGTTTGGGATACTGACTAAAATTATCAAATTACCGAAAAATTTAAACGATTTAAAGAGGTACTGCAAATTTTTTTAAAATAATTTACAATATTTAGTAATATCTTTAGGCGGGATGTAGATGATAATTAATATTATGATTATTTAGATTGCTTCTTTATATATTAATTGATTATATATTAATTAATTGATTATTTAAGGCTGTCCTTAAATCTCTGGCGTTTTTGAGGATACCATTTCCCTTTCATTTTCTTCTCCTCTGTTAGACAAAAGCAAAAAAAAAAAGAAAAGATATATCATCATCATCATAATAAGAGTTCATAATATCTCTAACTCGGATGGAATTTTTGGGGCTTCTGAGGGTTCGTGTTCGCCGAGGTATCAATCTTGCTGTCAGGGACACAGTCAGCAGTGATCCTTATTGTGTTCTCACCTGTGCTACGCAGGTAACCTTTTATTGTTTTAATTTTTGTACCAGTATTAATATGATTTGTTTGATTTCTACGGATATATTAATCTCAGTTTGGGCCTGATTGTTCGTTTGATGTAATTGAGATGACAATTTTGGTTGTTATCTATGATATATATGAATCTTTCTTTTAGCTATGAATTCTGATTGAGCGATCTTGCTCCAGAAATCAAGAGAAGATTTTCTTGTGTTAAAGGCATAAAAACTTTCACAGTATAATAATAATAATAATAATAATAATAATAATAATAATAATAATAATAATAATAATAATAATAATAATCGACGGTTAACCAACCGTGGCCTTTTTTGGTTGCCAATTACTCGAATTTGCATCAAAAGTTCATATTTCCTTTTGCATCAAATTAACAGATCTTGTGGATTAATCAAATTTCGACTTGAAACTCGGCTTAGTANTTTCTATTGTGCGCAGAAAGTGAAAACAAGGGTCGTGAGAGGCAACTGCAACCCTAATTGGAATGAAGAGCTGACCATTTACATTAAGGATCTAAATGTTCCGATTACCTTGGTAAGTCTCGAATTTGACCAAAAAAAATAAAAATCAATTGCTTAGTATATATATCTTCTCTACTCAGTGGAAGCTTACCAAAAGAAAAGAATTATTCCCCTTTGCCAAAAAAAAAATCCTCTTATTTTGTTGAATATACTTTTTTGTAACTTTGTGTAACATATTTTTTCTAATCACAGTTATATATGTTGGTATTGTTTGATAATATCTCAGTCTGTGTACGACAAAGACACATTCACAGTAGACGACAGCATGGGGAAAGCAAATATCGACATAAAACCTTTAATAGATTGCCTGAAGATGGGATTGCAAAGTCTCCCAAATGGGACTAAAGTAGACAGGGTTCAGCCCAACCGAGACAACTGCTTAGCAGACGAGAGCTCTGTGGTTTGGAACAATGGGAAGATGACACAAGACATGATCCTTAGACTAAAAGATGTCGAGTGTGGAGAAGTAGATATTCAGATTGAATGGATCGATCTTCCGGGTGGCAAAGGTCTCTAGACAAACCAATTATGTATATGTTTATATATATGTATGGTGAGAAGTAGAACAATCAATTTGCTCCAAGTGAGAAATAAGCTAAAATTAGTTAATAACTATATGCAAAGAGATGCATTTTCCAAGAGCCTTTTGTATTCTTTACCTACATACTAGTGAATTTGGAGGGAATGTGGTGAATATCAATAATGTATGGTAAAATTTCAATTATTTGTCTTGTAAAATGACCATTATTCGAAATTGGTACCTTAATTTTGTATCACTTTTTAAAATTTTTGGTACACTAATCCCGATCGTCGGATTAGGTACTGGCATGGAGTGATAAAATTCCAGGGTTATTTATGTGACATGTCAAAAGACAAGTGACAGCGGTAATTTTGGTCCTCTAATTTGACTATGTCTTTTTATATCGACCAAATAATTTGTCTCAACTTCAATCTAATATGTTTAGTTGCATTATCAATTTTGGTCCACATCTAAAAGATATTTATATTTGTGATGATTTTCTTTGACATGATGTAATTTTTTTTTTTTTTATGATTTGTCGAGCAACAATTATAAATTTATTTTTTGTCACAAAAATGTTTATATTTTATTGCATAAGTTACAATTTTATTGCATAAGTTACATTTATCTCAATATTGTTGCCATAATGATGAATTTTATTATTGTATTAATTCTATTAGAATAAGCTATATTTAGTTGGAATTACTTTTTGGGAACAAATATCCTATATTTATTTATATTGGAAAATTTTATAGAAACAAATAAAATATTTTTTTAATTTTATTTACAAAAGATAATTTCAACAAGATCCTCCAACAATCGCCGGGGTCGGATCACCGGTCGTTGCGGTGGCTCGTGGAACACAATTGCCAAGGTGCTCAGTCCGCCGCGGCTCGCGGTCGTCTAATCAACGTCGCGGGACGGGGCTGGTTGCAGTTGGCTCCGGTCGGCGGCGCAAGGTCGACGGACGGGATGCTCGGGAGTTGAGTTTACCTCGGGACTTCAATTGTAGAGAGAGAAATAGTTGGTGGCAGATTCAACAACCCATAATAAATGAAATGAGTTGTCTATTTATAGTATCCTTAAACTGGCACTAACTATTTCTCTCTCAACAATTACAACTCACCCTGTAATAATTACCCGTAAATACTCAAAGTGTGACAAAAGTGTCGACCTCGATATTAGAGGCAGACCTAGTGATTAATATAAAGAAGCCTAATTTTTCCGTATGTCTTTTTTAGTCCGCATCCTTATCGTCACTAAATCTTAATTTAACCGTTGATTGGATCCTACCATCAACATAATTAATTACTTGTAATATAATTAATTGACGTGTTGTGCAGAGACTAATACCACTCAATGCTTTATTATTATGTCGGAATTTAATCCACCTGCAGAGTTTAACGTAATAATCCTTCTTGAGCTCATCTCGGAGACATCATCAGACTATCGCAGACGGTGGCCGTAGATAATAGAACAATACACCATACACACAGCATCACTACCCAAAACATGGTAGATTATTGATCTAGCATAATGGATCTCACTTTTTGGTGAATCAGATTAGCAGCTACTATATGCATGTGCTTGTTTATATCTTACGAGTTAAAAGTACGCAATAATTAACCGACGTCTAGTTTGTTTACTTATCAGTTCAAAACAAACTTATCTTCGCTGGGATCCGTTCAATGCACACACTGCACTAGTCTAACCAATCATTTCAATGCACATAGTGTGTGTTAGTGTTATATACTGAAAGCTTGGATTTGCATGTCATTACACATTTGCCCTTTATGAATGAGAATCATGTTAGATTAAACAAGTTCTACGTTATGTTGTTCTGCACTTACATAGGGTGGGTCGTCATCGGACGAACCGAAGATCACTCTATCAATTACTTGCGAACAAGAATAGTTGTTCACAACCTAGATGGACATGAAACACCCCTCCCGAACAGTTGTAGTGTCAACTGTACAGTTTGTCTTGACTGATTAGTTGCACTAGTACATTTATGTATTGAACAGGATCCCAAAGAAGAGAAGTTCATTTTATACTGATATATATAATATATATTACTTTGATTCACTTGGGTGAGGTTCAGTTTGCTGGATCAATATTCCCACTGTTTTGGGTAATATTACTATATATATGAAGTGTTGTTATGATATTTACGGTCTCCATGTGCGTTAGTTTGATGATGTCCCCGGAGTGAGTTCATGAAGGATTGTTATGCTAAACCCTGCATGTAGATTAAATTCCGGCATAATAAGAATGTGATGAACGAGCGCTATCTTCGGTGAAATAATAATAAATTAATTAAATCTTGATTGTCAGTAATCGAATTAATTAATGAACATTATATCTTAAACGTGGAGAGATAAATCGAGTAATTATTATTGGAGTCTCAAATGTAATTTGGGCTAGGAAAAGGGAGTGAAATAATATAATGTTGGTGGCTCATTAATATTATTTAATTAATTAGAGGAGTGGGCTTGGCCCACAGTTAGTCTAATTAATTAAGGAGCTCTATTCCTAATCTCCTAAGAGTCCCTACTGTAGCTCTATATATGCATCATTAAGCTCATGAGAATAGAACCAATCTGTCATATTACACGACATACACGCCGCCCCCTATCTCTGTCTCTCTCAGTTCTCATTCGAGCTTTATCTTCTTCTTGTTGCTCCACTGGTACAAGTTGAAGAAGGGTGTATTGAGTAATACAGTAGATGATCCAATGGTTATCGAGACCCGTTAATCTTCTACAGCAATAGACGATCCACGAACCCGAAGGCTCGAGGACCGGCGATCGGCGGTGCCGATCGCCGTCAGCCCAGACGGACCGCCGCCTTGAGAAGCTGCAAAGACCGGCGAGACGATCGCTACCAAGGCGCGACCCGACATAACAAGATCCTCACAGATCCCAACAAGTTGTATAAGAGCGCTTGGTTAATTCGTTTTGTACAAAGTTCGTATTTTTACGGCTTTATTTGACAAGATGTGTTCAAACTCAACCATATATTAGATTATATTTGCATAACCCGGTTTTGCAGAAAAATAGTTAATCCACTATTATGGTCGACTATGTGTTTGATGAATGTTGTTGAATGTGATGTATGGTTTTAAATTTGTTTTTAAAGCCTCAGACATGTCTAGGACTTGATGGATATATGTTTGTAATAATTATTCGCCTGGGGGTTGATCGGATAAATCTAATTATTTGTTTAAAAAACATGTACATCCATTCATTGGATCTAGAATCGAATTATATAATTTTGTATATTATATTTTTCGTGTTTTGATCGTGTGTTGATGACCGGGAGATCACAAGTGATCAACGAGCCTCGAAAAATAAAATAAAAAAAATCGGCGATTTTCCGACCACCGGCGGCCGGGCGGCAGCCAGGCGGGCGGTTGCTGAGGGGTGGAGAGGTTTGCTTGATGATCAAGCAGTACAATATCAACCAGAATTCTACTGCTAAAGGAGTTCCAGTTTAACAGGGAAAGAACTGTCACAGTTTTCTTGTTTAAGGAGACTCAATATTTAATGGCCATAATAGTAGATTTATTTATTTATTTAAATTCATTATGTCATTAATTATTATTTATACATGTTAATTAATTATGTTTGTGCATGGGATTAATTTAGTATTGCGAGAATAATTATGCATGTTAATTAATTATGTAATGCATAGGATTAATTTAGAATTGTATCAATAAATTATGCATGATAATTAATTAGTGCACTGGCATAGATTAATTTAGAATTACATGAATTATTATGCATGATAATTAATTATTGCATTAACATAAATTAATTTAGAATTTCATAAATAGTTAAAAATCCTCATAAAATAATACCAAGTTTGAGAAGAGATTTAAAATTAAAGTTAATTGTAAAATTCCTAAGGCCTCCATTTCTAGTTTGTCGGTAAATCAATTAAGCTGCGGTAATGGGCTCCCCCTCGGGTGACATTGCTAAAATTAATTGTAGGTAATTACCAGGACAATTTTCTAATTAGACGGTTAGAGGAAATCTTATCAGAGCGTACGGGCTTCCATCGGATGACGTATAATCAAATTTGACAACCTTAGGACCGAGAAATGGGATTCACTTTGAATGCGATTAAATTTATTAACCCCCTCGGGGTCCCTGAATTCTATTGCGTGGCCAAATGAAGACTGACTATTAATTTCGTTCGTCATGAATTTGGTTTTGACTTATGGAAATTAATGGGTTCTTGAAAAGCCCTTCTCAGGCGAATGTTGAGTTTTGTAGGGTTAACCTCGTATCATGCATTACTCACGGTGTTTTGAGATGTCGGTGAATTTAAATTAATATTGTTTTGAGGATATCAATATTAGTAGTTAAATTCAAATGTGTTTAATCTGTAAAACTATTTGCATGATTCTCAGGATATTCATCATGTCGTTCAAACTGTTGTCTGTTAATTCTAAAGGAAAACAACTTACCAGTCCCAAACCATTTGACTGGAAGAGGAACTTAGACATTGTCATGTCGATCATCATGGCTAAGGGCACTCACGTAAGGGAACATGTCCAGAAGCTGGTGGAGCAGTTCACTCGCATGGAGTCTGATGGTGCACGCATTGATGAGTGCATCAAGGCAGACATAATACTCTTCTCGCTGCATAAGGACCTTAATCAGTTATGCTACAGTTATAGCGATGTTCTTCAAAATATGCCAGTCGCTGAGTTGATTGGGTAACTTGAGGCGGCTGAGAAGATTATCCATGAGGAGCGAGAGATGATTCGTGCAGAACAAAAGATGGTCTCGTCCTCTAAGTCGATAGGGATAAGAGTAAAAGGAGCTCTGTTCAGTAAGCAGTTGAGTCGTCTAGAGCTGCTAGATCGGGACAGAAGGTCGACTGCCCTCTCCTGAAGAAAGGTAACTCTCGCGTTAATGTCGTAGAAACATGTTTAGCGGTTGTATCTATCAGAACCTAGTGTGTAGATACTGGAGCCACTGATCATATCTGCAATTCTTTGCAGGGGTTCCAGGAAACCAAGCGGCTTAGGGAGGGAGAGATCACCGTCTATATGGCAATGCTACGAAAGTGGCGGCTGTTGCAGTTGGAGACATTACTTTATCGTTTGATAGTAGTAGTTTGATTTTGAGAAATTGCCTTTATGTTCCTACCTTTAGAAAGAATCTTGTTTCAGTTTCTAAACTCCTTATGAATGGTTTTTCAGTTTTGTTTGATGACATGGTTATTATTCGTTTTGGAAATCGTTTCATATGTTGTGGTCCATTGGTTGGCAATCTCTATGTTCTCAAACCAAACTCTCCCACAGTGCAACAAAATGAATTGAATACTATCATA